TAAACCCCAGGCCCAAATATGTAATGCTTAATCAAGGTGAAAGGCTGAGGTGTTAGGTACTGATGGCCTAGGATGGCAATTCAACCCCCCTTCCTCCCCACACAAGAAAACAATTCTCCACCTTGACATCTCTCTTTCCCCCAGGGGTTTTATATTACTCAGAAAGACTCTTGTCTCACAGACAAGAAAGTCCCATCTCTGATGATGGGATGTGTCAGTTACTGGGCTATATGACATCACACAGCATTGGATTTAAAGAAACCGATGAGATCATCAGATAAGTAGTCTTTGTGGGGGTGGGGGCTCTTTTTGTATTTAATGGAATGTTCTCTTTTAAGTCATGTTGACAGCATATGTAGTTTGCCATCTTGGAAACACTTTAAAGCTGGGTTTATACAGAGTTATAATTTACAGCAAAAAGAGGAAAATTCTGTTGCTCCCCTGAGTAATAAGTACTATGTTGTTCCCAGGTGATTTATTAAACTTTCCAAGCCTCACCTCAGTACTGGGCTCACAGAGATAAAAGTGGGTTTTACTCATAAGAGGCACCAAAGCCCAATGCTACCAGTTTCATTTATATGAGAAAGAAAATTAAGAGACAGTTCAAAGTTGTTAAGCCAAGGCCTCCTTGAAAGTAGAAGGAAAATGCTCAATGTCATAAAATGCGCTTGCTTATGATTTTCTTTTTGCTTTTAAACAAGTTGAAAGTGAGGAAGGTAAAGGCTCTGTTCTGTCACAGCCTCACAAATCTGTGCAGTGCCTGATTTGTAGGAAAAAAAAATATTATTGCAAGCTTTCTAGGCCTCAGATATTGTGCCAAGTGAAAAATCACTGAACGCATTATCTCATTTAATCCATGTAACAAAGGTGTGGGGTATGTACTATTATCCCCTCTCTACCTGTAAAGACACTGAAGTGAAACCATTTTAATTTTCCAATTAGGAAAAGAATGTATGAAATATTCCTTGCTTATAGCGATTGCAGATCACAAGGTGCTGGCGGCCAACCCGGGTAATAGTCTCAACTGTTTGCCTGACAGTCATATACAACTCAAATGCTACCTTATGTCTAGTACTGAATTGCAATCACCCCAAACTTTCACTTCCAAAGGAAGACTCGCATCCATTTAACATAACTCATTCTTTCAATCCAGAGACATCCCAATAAAAAATACCGAATAAAAACATTTAAAAGAAATCCTGAGCCAAAAAAGAAGTGCTATACTCAATTCTGACGCAGTTAGACCTGGATGTGAATCCTGCATGCTGAACCACTGTGGGCTTCGGCTGCCTCATCTATAAAATTACCCTACAGACTCTAAGAGATGAGTTAAAATATGTGCAATGTTATGTAATATATATGAAAGCACATTTTAATTGCTATTGCTGTTATTATTATGAATAACCTGACAAAGAAGTAAAGTTACATAGAGGCAAGTTGGATGTGTTGTGGAAATGAAATCAGACAGCTGTCTTTGGGCCAGGAAATTCTGTCCTGGTGCTGCTAAGCATTCATTCTCGCTGATCTGAGCTGCTTTTGTAGGAATGGAATGGTGCTCTCACTAGCACTGGAAAAAATCATCCTGGTTCTCCTCTCTCTCTCTCTCTCTCTCCCTGTCCTTCTCTCCTCTTCACAGATCTTGGCTGCCTTACACTTTTGGCAAAATGACATCTGAGTCTGATGTGGAACAGAGCTCCCAGATCATGGCATTCCCTCTTAAGCCCAGCTGTGCCGGCCTAAGTAGCCAAAATGGATATGATCTTGCAAATGGAAGGCACACATGCTACGTCCTCAGCAGTTAGCTAAGCAGACCCCCAGTCCCATTTGCTGACAGCTTCATCACGACCAAATGATTAGTGCAGAGCCATCAAACATATCAAGCCCAGGGCTCTGTATTTTAAGAAACATATCCACACAGACCCAGGGAGAAAACGCTTTGGGTACACTTAATTTGCAGAATGGGGAGGGGTAAGGGTGGGAATCTTTGTTTAACAAAACACTAAGCTACAAAGCACCACAGTGTTTCTGAAAGCCAGTGCTACCGAGTGACATTCAGTCACTAGAGGCCAGATCTACCACCAAAATTTTCCTTCTGCAAAATGTTTACACTGCAGACTTTTGCTGACCTTTTCTAGTAATGAAGTCAACCCCACCAATGCATCAATCACTGAGGCCTGGTAACTCAGGAAGAATTAGTCCCCATTTACTGGGTAGGGTAATTCATCCCAAGATGGAAGAGAGGTGCTTTGTTTTTTAATTTTTTTTAATTTAAGATTTAGTAGGTTCTATGATCACAGGGTTATGTTCCTTTTGGTAAAGCTCAGTCGTGAGTAAATTAAAACTGCAAATCATGGAAACAGAAATGAAAGACCCACTAAACTCTCCCTGAGCCACAATTATTCAAACTTAGTGCACTGCATAACTCTACCTCTTAAGGCTGCTAGATGGGGGGGGAAGTCCCCCAAATTGTGGCAACTGTGAATAATAATTATATTATTAATCAGAATTAGTACATGGATATCACTGAATGGGTAGTTGTTTTGGGAGGGAGGCCACCTTGGCTGTGGAGAAAGAACAGTCTTTGAAAATTAGGTTCATGGATGTATAAATGTAGAGTACATAATGTTGCAACTCTGCCTAAATGTCTTCATAAAGTGCAAATTAATGCAGAGCCTAACTAGGCATTTGGAACCCTAACCTAGTTTTCTGTGTTTAGCTAATAGCAATTTTGCTTACACTTTTATCCTGTCATTACATAGCAATGATGATTATTTGGTAAATACATGTGAAAGGCCACATACTCCATAGCACCTCTTCTTGGTTGGAAATAACCCCCTCCTAATACTTGTGTTTACAGAATTTTGTTACTGATATACCAAATCAAGTAGAGCCTATTAAGGCCTCTTTTGGAGGCTCAGAACAAACCCGTTCTCAGATGGTTCCCCTGTGATGGCCCGGCCAAGTGCAGGGTAGGGGCTGGGGATAAGGGAGTTTGGGAGGCCCAGAGCTTCAGTGAATGTTAATCCTTTGTTAATCTTAAATGGACTCAGCTGGCTTGGCTGCTTTGTGAATTACTTATTATGGGGGAGACAGGTAGGGGAAGGCTATCTTCTAACTAGTGAAATATTATGGAACACGAGAGAGTTTGATACAGAGATGTAGAAGAGAAAGATATAAAATGTGCTCTTGGGGTGCCTGGGTGGCTCAGTCGTTGGGCGTCTGCCTTCGGCTCAGGTCATGATCCCAGGGTCCTGGGATCGAGCCCCGCATCAGGATCTCTGCTCCATGGGAAGCCTGCTTCTCCCTCTCCCTCTCCCCCTGCTGGTGTTCCCTCTTTCGCTGTGTCTCTCTCTGTCAAATAAATAAATAAAATCTTTAAAAAATAAAAAATAAATAAAATGTGCTCTTGTAAGATGCTACCCAGGCCACCCCTGGTCATATGACTGATATCAACCCTTATAAGTCACCTGGGAATTTTTCCTCTTAGATGCAGGATAGGGTAAAACAGGTCCCACTAGAGGATTTGGGGTGGTCGCAGGGCACTTCTTATTGTCGGCCAAGCATACAACCTATCTCTAAAGTATTACAGAGGCAAAATTCTTCGTTGGGTGGGCAAGCCCCAAACAGAATGATTTTGAATACAAGATTCCCCCATTCCTGGCCTAAAAGGAGAAAGTTGAAACTGAACAGAGTAAGCACAGACAAGGATTTTTAACATCCAGAGCCAGGTCTGGCTTAGGGGGTGGGGACTAGCTGGGCTGAAGGAAGATGCAGGAAACAGGGCCCTCCACCTGAATCCTGCTCCTATGTGTCTGCTCCCAGGGTCAAGGTTCCTCTTGTCCTCTTCTGGTGACTTTAGGGGAAGTTGGCTGAGTCCCCAATTCTGCAGAGGGAATGCAGGCAGAGGAGCGCCCTGCAAATGGGTCCTACCCTAGCCACTTTAATATTAGGTGGGAGAGGAAATGGGGGAGACACCGTCAGTGGGAGGTGGCACTGAACTGAGCTGGGGAATACTGCTGATCCTGGGGCTTTTTCTCATGGCTCCCCTCCACACCACCAACTCCCTGCACCAACAAAGATGCTGCTTGGAAATCAGAATGCCCTCCAACACACAGACACACAGGCGCAGGCAGGCACAAGCCCTACCCCATTCACCTCATCACTCCTGAAGCTACAGACTGGTGCAAGTAGTCTGAGGTCAGTGAGTCTGACCTAGCACATCCTGGCCGCTGGGAATGGGAGAGCCTACAATCTAGAGTGGTATTTATGACAGTGTTGTTGCAGGCGAATTTTGCCTTTACTTGATGTGGAGCAGGGCATGCTAGCATGTTTCAGACCGTCATGACCAGTCCTGATGTGCTTGGGGAAGGCATGGAGGACCTCCACATCCCTCTGGTCCCTGCTGGTGGCACTCGCTAGTCCCGCATCCTCCCGCAGTCTCTTGAATGTGCCTAGTTACCAGGGCAGGGCTCTGCGTCCATTTTGCCAGCCAGGAACCACCGAGTTTGGGAACTTTGAAAGCCAGGGGATGGGGGTGGGGGTTGCCAAGGCTCAGATTTCGGGGCCAGAGTTCTCATCCAGGAAAGCAGTTGAAAATCAACACCCATCAGCCTTTTCTTTCTTATCACTCACCCCTTCTATGTTCCAGGACTCCATACAGGTACTAACCATACCACACACAAACAGACACACAGACACAGGCGCGCGGCCGCGCGCGCGCGC